ATGTGTGTGTGTGTGTGTGTGTGTGTGTGTGTGTGTGTGTGTGTGTGTCGTGTATTTGTGATGAGTACGTTAAATGAAGACATATGGTAGGTCGTGATAAATGCGGCTTCGAACTAGAACTCGACGCCGAATCTCGCGCCGAAAGTCGACGGATTCACGAAGCTGACGAAAGCTGCTTCAGTCGACCGGAGACGTGTGACAGATCTCTTCCTCTTCTTGATATCAACGAGCATCGCAAGATCTTGGATTTACATCAATCTTTTAATTTCTGTCTTCCAAGATGGCACATCTACGTCCAATGAGACATTACAAATCTTTTGGAAGAAGAAGGGTAAACATTTATATTGTTTTAAATCATATTTATTACATTTTACATATAGCGTTTTTATTCGTTGAGTTAACGAATCAATGTGTGCAATATTATCGATTACAAATCTATTTTTGACACGAAAGGATAAAATGCTAGTGTCAAAAATAGCAACTGTACTCTTCGGCTTTTTATTAAAAATCCTTGCGATTCTTGTAATAATTACAAAATGTATCGTAATATATTTTTTTTCGAAGATATCGAGATCAGAATATTTAATGTGTGAATAGAGATTTATTAATAAAAATGAGGATATCCTATAATAATGAAACAGACATTGCATGTATGAGACAGATCGATATTGTCTGACAGGTACTTTATTTAATAGTTGTGATATTTCCATTGGGGAAGTGCCATTTATTTCTAAGGCCGTATTACAAATAAATGTTCATGAAAGTGAATACCAATTCGTATCGTAAGCATGCGCCTTCTGTCTTTGCTAGTACAATGCTCTTAAATTTTATTTTTGCACCACGTGACCGCGATGAAAGGAGCTGCCGTGACGCTCGTATAGTTCGCCAATCAGTTATTTATGAACTGCGATTTCGAGATCGAAGCTATTATCCCCATATATCTACAGGGTGTCTCAGAGATCTCATATTTCTTTTTATTTGCAAATTAACAAATCGAACAATTTCAAATATATTTTTTTAATAAAATAAATTTACGAAACATAAAATATAAATTTGTGAAAATTGTATAAATGAAGGTTAAAAGATTAAAAGTTGAAAGAAGAGTCATCTCGAAGTAATACAAGTTGTGAAATGTAATGAGAAAGATATACGGTAATATCTGCAGTAACCTTTGGCGTTGACTGCAAGAACCTTTATACTGCAGAACCGAAAGACAAGCAGACTAAAAGCGAAGCGACACGTGCACGCACTCCCTGCGTGACCTATATAGGTGACCCAGATTTGCAGTCAGATGAAATCGATTGCAGAAAATAGCTTAATTCTTCCATTAATGTTTCTATTAAACGTTATTTTATTTTTATTGCTATTATCAAAAAATATGCAAAATTGTTTAATAAAACTCTTTATTATATACGTTAATAACACTCATGTGAAGAATATTTACAGAAAATAGTTATCAGGAAATAATTATCAGATGATACTATTGCCATTTGCGATTTTTTATAGTGTAACTTTAAATAAAAACAATACTTATTGTTGATAGCAAGAAAACTATATGATTCATGATTGAACGGCAGTACAAATGGTAGTAAACAAGATATATAGAACAAAAAATATGAGTCGGCACTGTTCAAGATAAAAGCAATAATTTTTTATATACGTAATTCCCTCTATTTATAACATATGGCACATTTATACAATCACATCATGAATAAAAAGGGATGAACTTTAAAAAGAAATCAACATTGTTTCATTCCAACATGTTGTGGACGGTAATAAAAGCGACTAACCTGGTGACATATAAGAATCAAAACTGATAAGAGAACTCTGCGTGTTATTCATCATGCGACACTATCAGCACGCAAATATCTGTTCCAGATAAACACAATTCTTTACAGGTGTGCAAAAAGAAAAACTTAATTTGTTACATATTATCTTACATATCATAGCAATATGCTTGCATATAAGAATCGGTTTACACAAATTAACTGCATTACATTTTTATTGATTTATTATATATAGAGTAATCTCGTTAACTTGACTGCAGAAAGATCACGTGGTATTAGATAAAAAATATATAAACGTAAAAAGGAAAATATCTGAATTTGTACGCTTTCTAAAATCAACAATTTTTATTCGATTTTTACGATGCACTCTTTTCCGACGATTCTATCCCACGACGTCGACCGGTTATATTTGAGCGATGCTGTATACACATACACCGGGTAGAACACGTTGCCGTCAGGGTGCAGTGGCCTGGCGTTGTCGTGTGGGTCGCACTCCGGGTGGTTTGCGGAGGAGGACGCGGCGTAGCGGAGCGGAGCTGAGAACGGAGCACCCCTCGGATCGATATAGTAACGGGGGTGTCGTCCGACCATCCTCCAGTGGCGCCCGCACACGGACGAGTCACAAAATGGCATTGCTAGAGAAACAGCCCGGCCAGAAGGCGCACACGATCGCAAGGACTATGTAGAGTCAGTCTGTGCAGCACCTCCGAACATCACTTTCGCAGTCTTTGCATCTACCGTTACCGTGAAGGCTCGCAGCAGTGAAAGCTCGTGGGGATGAAATAGCGTGTTGCGGATAAACGTGATATAAGCCAAGTCGTTTAGGGGATAATTTTTTGTTTTTAACACGATCGAAAAAATTCTCAAAATTTTTCGCAATTTAGAATTTAAAAAATTTTTTGTACACTTAGTGAAATTGGAGTGATCTTATTGAAAAAAAAATGCGTGGTGTATAAGTTCAATATTTTTAAAACAAGGTGTGCTGCCTCATGTTGAGAGAAAGAAAGGATTGTCAAGATGGGAAAACGTGATTTATTTGGTGCTTGGATAGAATTTTCTTGGTGCGGGAGAAGGTTCGTAAAGAGTACTGTGCGAATAATAGGATGAGAATAATAGGACGAATGCAGGCGTCTGCAGGTAAAAATTGACAAGGCCGATCTGAGTTATTTGATCGACCAGCGAATTGGAATGTGGTAACTGCACTCGAGGTTGCACGATGTCGTTGACCTGCTTCCAGGCGCCACGATACTGTGGTGTATCATTAGTTTAGTAGCTTTAGCGTGGATCACGATAAAAAATTTTGATTTGCAAAATGGATTTAATGAATTTAATATTACTACTATTGTGTTGACGCTTCTTGAGAATTATTTTTAAGGATTAATGAAAAGGATTAATGTAATGGCTTAACTGGACTGAAAAAGTTTATTGATCTGTAAAGTGAATCTAATATAACATTTAGTAAGTTCTAATATAACATTTTATACAGTGTCAAAAAGAGAAGAAAAAAGCTTGAAACAATTTAGAAAAATAAATTAGAAGTTAAATTGAAGCAGATATTAAAGATAAAGGCTGTAAAGGGATAATTATAAAGACTATCACTCTTTTTATTTATTTAATCGAAAATTAAAATTAGAAAAAAGTAAAATGAAAATGGAGCATACTTTGTGTAATACTTAAAAAATTTTCTATAGTTAAAATATAGAAATAAAAAATTGTAAGTTTCTGGCTATATATATATATATATATATATATATATATATATATTCAAAGTTCAGATTTCTTTATTATATACATAGAACTTTTTATTCTAAATTAAATTTTCTTCTGTAATTTCACAAGATTTTCATCAACACATATATTTTCTCATTTACTATTTATTAATATATTAATTTAGGGTATCGAAATTCAATCGGACAACGAATTCGAAAGTACGGATTTCTAAAAGGGTCAACAGTATCGATTATCTAGGAATGAAATTGATAATTTAAGAGATACTTTAAGAATCAATTTCACGTTTCCTCGAATTGCTGCACTTTCGACTGACTGATAAAGTAATAATGAGATTATTTGTGAGTTATTTCTGTAGGATTAATTAATTATCCAGATAGATGAGGTGATCGGGGAGTTGCGTGACGCTGGGCGCGTAATTCTCTTTAAAGGTTACTTCAATACAATACTCTAATTTCTATTTTTTAATTTTAATTATATGTTGTCTATAGCATCATTTTGTTTTGTAAAGGCGGGGCATGTTTAGTAAATGAAAAATATAAAAGCATATTCCTTTCAGAATATTATAGTAGAATTACCAATGATAAATTAAATTTTTAATTTTTTAATGCATTTTTATTGCACTTTGTTTGCTATAAAAAATACAATTTATTTTGTGCATATATATTAGACATTTATTTTAAAATTTTATAATGTAATAAAAAAGATTTTATAAAAAATTTAGCATTATATAGTCACTTTAATTCTTAAAAAAAATATATATTTTTTTATAATAAGGAACTTTTATTTATAGATTTTGTATAATACTAGAATTGCTTCTTCTGAAATTTAAAGTATTACAGTATACTGAAAAGTATATTATATTGTAATTAAAAATTTTTATCGAAGTAACAAGAAACTAAGTTAATAATTATTGAAATAATATTTATGATGATAATATCAAAATTATAAATGTAAAAAATGTCAGTTTGCAATCGATTTCTTATCTTTTTATTAAAAATTTAATTGGTCTTCAAAAATTTAAATAACATCAGGAACATATGAAGAATTGATTTTTCCAAATACATATATCGTCGGCTTCTGATATGATCTATCTTAAGGACTTTTTAACTACAGAAATAATCTATTGAAAATTTTATTTAAAACCACGAACAAACATTATTGTGAATTTCTAATTTAAAAAAGTTTATTATTATGCTATAAAAATATTCGTTTTTTTCTTATTCCGACACTTGACAATTTACAATCTCTAAAATAAAAATTAAATTCTAGAACAATAAATTTTTTATAAAAATAATTCTTTTTATTTATTAATAATTTCTTTTTAATGAAATAATTTTAAATTTATTGTTGGAAAATTAACATTTGTACTAAATCTCAAAAAAATTTTGACATATTTTTTTAAAACAAGAAAAGGTAATATAGCGCACTCAAGATTAATTTATTTAAAAAATTCTAATTAACTGCAGATTTCTCAATTTCTGCAATATAATATCAAAATCTTCGATATTTTCGATATTTTCCATAATGAAAACGAATCGAGTTGATTGCTGCGATTGGAATAAATAATTTATTCTGACGAGATTGACATCAACGAAATCCTGTCGAGACACTCATATTGGTTTGATGTTTATACAAAACGTGACCTAATAAAATTATCGAATTGCATAATCAATGAAATTTTCAAATCTATGATTGTCGTGAATATTTTAAATGGTTAAGACAGATGCTGATCGCGTGCTCCAAGTAACGAAACTTTATATCAGTTGGATTATACAGAAACAGCGTATTGACGTGCATTTTCCATGATTATTCAAACCGGTCGAAAGTTAGTTTGTGATATTAGTTAAATTGTAATAGTTCTTTGTAATAGTTCTATCAAGCTCTATGTGAAAATTATCGGAAACCAGTAAAGATAATGCCTCCGTAAATTAATATATCTTCACATAAATTTGTAAAATGTTGTAATTTGTCTATAATCTTCTTTGATAATAATTATTTATGTTAGGAAATAGTTAAAAATGTAAAATTTAATGTATAATTTATCTTGAATATCTTTTCATAAGTATAGATAGAAATTAGCGATATGCAATTTATTATTCATTATCGTTAACGTTGATATACGAGATATTTTTATCTTCTGCTTCGTGCTTACGTGTACATATCTCGTTGCTATGTAATTTATTGATGCTTCGTGCTTACGTGTACATTTTTTCGACAATATTAGGGGGGCAGACAATTTTAGGAGGTGGCATTAACTTCTTCGTAGTTTCATCCACGTTTCTTTACAAGTAAATTTGACCAGGTTAAATGCAGAATGAGTAGATTTAGAAAATGGTTCAATTTCATTCCATTTTTCTTGTTTAATTTTAAACTATTGCATGATATATTTTTATACAACAGCATGCAGCAATATATAGACCTGGAAGTCAATATTATGCTAAATTTAAAAGCTAATTTTTATCCAAAAAGCACTTTTAAGATATGTTTTAAGATATCTTCGAAGAATGATTGACTATAAGAATTTGAGATTTTATACATGTATGTATTTATATTTGAATTATATTTAGAAATTTCTTCAAACTTATATAAAATTTTGTAACACATTTATATAACATATTGAAAATTATTCTGAACTTTTCTTTTTGCTCCTTTTTTATGAATACTTTTTTATGAATACTGACAGTAATAACCAATGAAATTATATTATTACTAAATTAAATTATATATTACAGAAAGATTTTACGTCATTCTAATCTCTTTTTGATGCGATTATCTCCGTAAATTATGCCTGCATTCGTCCATTACACTCTATTTAAATTTATTTTTTATTTATTATTTTTCATTATGATACATTTTTATGACTGAAATCAAAGTTAAAATTACATTCTGTTTTGCATAGGGATATTAGAAAAGTGAATATTTCGAATCGCATCTCTTATTGTTCGCTATGAACACGAAACACACCACTTGTCATCATGGGGTGATAATGACAATCTCTCAGAAGTAGATCAAGATTTAAGATCAAATATTTGGATGGCTTGCAAACGAAAGAGAAAAAAGTTTGAGATACGACGTACCTGAGGGAAGCTATTCGAAACTCTGTGCCACTACGCCATTCAACATGGCGTAGCGGCGTGAATTCAAATATCAGTGCAATATAGACAAGCTTTTTGATAAGAATAAAAATAGTTATGCGGTAGCGTGGACTATGTGAGAGTTTAAAGTATTAGCCCGATAAATTTCGGCTCCGAATTGGAGCGAAGGCGGATTGAGCACCATCAGAAGAACAGCCTTGGCATCCATGGTGGTGAATCCCGGCGATGATCGGGTACAATCAACACAATTCCGGCTACAACAAGCTATTTACTCAGGTACACTGGATCTACACATGAATTTTTATTCTCTTTTTTTGTTATATAACAGGCAAGATTGATATTAAGAACATTTTGTTATTTTTCCATAAATTTATATCATCAATATGTAAGATAAATGCGTGGTTCTATTTAGCACAATATATATAATTTAAATATCTATTAAGAATTGACGTCACTCATCAATCACTAATAACAATTTTCTTGTGTAATCATTGATATATCTTAATCTTTTTTTCGATGTTATGTAATCTGTTCAATGATTTCATGAATCTTTTCTTTTTCTTTTAATCTTATCTATTATTTTTCGCAAGATTGTAATAAATAGATATATATATTCATAGAATAACAGTGCTTATATTTTTATTTTCCCGATCAAAGAGATAAGTGTAATTAGACTTAAACCCGCCAGGGGATTCTGTACAGTGAGGAAGATCTCTATACAAAAATAACTGATCATCGTGACCCTACTTTGAGCAAGGAGGCGCAAGGAAAAGTGTTCGATCGCGTTAAAGACGCGCCGCTTCCTAGACGTATGGGACGTATTCTGCAACGTGTCGTTCAAGGCCTGTATTAGGCAACGTGGCGTAAAGCAGAAGCGATCATCCGTGCTATCGCTGTAGCGCAGCGATTTACGCCGATTGCGCGCTTGATCGAGATTTACCTTCTTTTTTTAGTGTGAAATCGAGCTTTGCGGGATCGGGATATGCTCCACTAGCCTTGAAGCTACAGATTTTATCTTTAGTGTACTTTTCTTATTCGCGGTTCGTCTTTTAAGGCGTCTTTCGAAATATTGTTACTAGCGAAATTCTGCATAAAGATTTATATTTTGAATTTTTAACATTATTAATTTAGAATTTGTAATTTACTTTATTAAATAAAAAAAGAAAAGAAGTATAAAAAAAGTTGGTTTCTATATTAGTGTTATGAAATTTTATTTGTCTCAATTTTATTTTTAAATTATTAAGATTTGAATATTTAGAAATATAATATTTAGAAATAGCTCAACTCTAGATAATTTGAATCATTCGATGATTTATAATGTACAAATTCGGAATAATCATGTTTCGACTGCTTATTAGCTTAATGTTTATTTAATTAGCTATCAAATCATATATAGCTAAACATCGACGCTTCCCGTTTTCTAAAATAATATAGAATAATTGCTAATGCTTTCGGTTTTTATTACGATTTTTTATAATATGAAAAATATAACAATAGCAAATGATTTTTAAAAGAAAATAATGTGAGTGTCACAATTATCGATGTGGTCATTCACCCCCTCACACACACACACACACACACACACACACACACACACACACACACACACACACACACACACACACACACACACACACACACACACACA